ATATCTACACAGTAAAGCGTAGGACGAGTGAAGCAAGAGTGCCGGCAAACAAGCCAGCTCCAGTATCAATTATCTAACAGAGAAAATTAGTCTCCGTGAGATAATGTTTATGTAGCCTATGTTTACTTTTTTGAATCACAAGCATCATCTGAAATATAATAATTCCCGACTACCGGCTATACATTTTTTTCGATACGAATTTGCAATGAAACTTATACATTGAAATTTTTCCATCTAGTAACGTACAGCTTTTCCAAAGTGTGTCGGAAACCTGTCAATAAGGAACCATTGTGAGTTTTTAATGCCTGTCCCATTAGAAACTGCTCATTATCAACTAACCGCATTGAAGCACACTGGCACTGCTGAAATACTAACTATAAATGTCGAAAAATTCAAAAATATATTAAAATTTAATTAATTAAGTATGGTTAGATTTATTACATTATTTAACATTAAAATTAGATTATTATTTTCATCACGGTAAAAAAAATACAATTAAATTTAAGAAAAGGAACTAACCCGCTTCGCAACATCACGGAAAAAATTTACACCGATTTCAAATGTTGGGAACAAAAATGAACCATATTTTTTTACTTCTGGCTTGGGGAAAATTTTCAATGTTGCTTCAGTGACAACTCCAAGAATTCCTTCAGAACCAAGAATCACTTGTTGCAGATCCGGTCCGCCAGATAATCGAGGAACCTAAAGAAAAACTTTTTAAAGTTCTTACTAGATTTCATACCTAAGAAGTGTTAAAAACAAAAACAGCTCAATGAATTATATAAGAAAAAATAAGAAGGAAAAAGAAAAATTAGAGCATTAATAGGATAATACAATTTGTTCTCAAATTTCCAGTAAATTCTACGCAGCAATGAATCAATAGAAAGACTAACTTGACATTGTCTTCGGATAATCCCTATAGGAGTGGCGAATGAAACATGCACCAACAAATCTTCAATGTTACCGTATTTATTCTTCTTCATTCCTTAAAAAATGTGAGTGACAAAAAAAAACTCGATTCTAAAACTGCAGTACCAAACTCCTCAATCAATAAGTCTGCTAATAAAAAAAAATATTACGAAAAGAGAAAAATTCCATTTGACATTAAGTACCTGATGCTCTTGTCGCAATCCATCCTCCTAATGAACTAAATTCCACAGAATCCGGTTCATGACCGCAAGTATAACCTTTTTCATTGAGTAGTCTTTCTAGGTTTTGTCCAATTATTCCAGCCTAAATTTCGTTTTAGTAAACGAATTGGATGTGAGAAAAAAAACTGTCCAAGAAAAGTTGGTTATTTCAACATCATAGTTTCTGACTAATACTGCAATGCAAATAAAAACTAGGTAATTCGAAAAAATTTACCTGTGCACGACAAAGGAAATTTTTTTCGTCAATATAAATAATTCTATCCATTAATGCCATATCTAACGAGCAAATGGTTCGAGCTTCATCTTCTGGGCATTTCAACGCTTCTGTAACCGAAGTTCCGCCACCAATCGGAATAATGACAACATCAAAATTTTTTCCACCTTCGATAATCTGAAAATTAATACGCAAAAAACAAATCATTCTAGTTTCCAAATATTATTCAGGATATCGAAATAACTTGCCATCAAAATTTCTTCTTCACTTTTTGGCCAAACAATAATATCTGGAATGCGTCCTAGTGAACCTGATCGCAAATTCACGATATCATGTACTGTAAATAAACTTTCGAATAATTACAATCCAATGAGAAGCAAAACTAAAATGAGCATGCGATTTCAGAATTAAAGAAATCTAAAAATTCTTTGGTAGCATATGTCTCACATATCTCCAAGATAAGGAGAAATATCATAGTGCACAATTTTACGTGATGCATGGATAACTTTGAGCTTTCAGTTTAGTATTGAGCAATGTGAGATTTATGCCAAAAATAAACATTAGCTATTAGAATAAGTAAAATGAATTGCACTCACTTAATCATAAAATTTCACCCAAATTAACAGTGTGAACAAGTGATTACAAGTTAAAAGTAAAGATACGCTGAAAAAGCAAACCTGTATGTCCATGAGACCGCATTAGTCGATAATTCGGTCTATCAGAAAATGAAATTTTACTAGATTGTAAAAAGCTGATAAAATCTAGATTGTGTATGGGATGAGGTATAATTAAGTCTTCATAACGTAAACTAGGAGTTTTGTAATTAATATCAACATTAAGTTTCTCAGACATATATTTGATGAGATACGGCAGGCTTTGGCCTGAGATATCGTACCTGAAATGGTTTCAAAAAGACGTACTTTTTTAATTATTCAATAATTTGACTTAAATTTATAAAAGTCATACTTTAAGTTTAAATGGTCTCTTCTTGAGATGTAAAGAATATTGTAACATCAGTCACGAAAAAATTAAATACTAATGCAAAAACATGAATTCATAACTCATTAGCAAGTTACTTATCTGAATAGGTGTGAGAAATTTATTTTTTAATCCCATAGACAAAAGTCATTTCTACAGCTAGTTATCATCAGTCTTAAATTCCTTCAGAAAAAATTACTGAAAGGAACTGAAAAAATGAAATAAATTGAAACTAACCTATTACCTGTTAAAACTACATCCATTATATTTCTAACTTCAAAATACGAATCTACATATCCCCAACCATTCCATTTTAATATTTGATCCCTGTAATCCAAAAATCTTTTTAGATGAATATTTTTCATCATATTTCAAGTTCAGCCAATTCCTCTTCAAAATCGACTCAGCACAGTTATACAATAATATCTACTGTTTTGGCACAAGGGTTCAAGCGTAGCACATATTAAAGCAATATTCAAAGTTTGGAAACATAACAATGCGAAGCCTTTTCAATCAATCAATGCTAATACAGAGAAAACCAGTGTTACCTTCTTATACCTCAGGCTGCTTAATATTAAACACTGTTTCATTCAAGTTAATTAAACTTCATTAGCTCGAAATCACAAATCAACATATAAAACCAAATATAAGTTAAATACCTGTAAATGTTGGGGACACTGTATTCTTGCACCTGATACTCTTCTTGCAGATCCATATCATACGTTCTTCTACAATAATAAATCAGTCATATTTCACAATGTTTTATGAATAAAAAGAATATAAAGTACTAGACGAATAAAAATATGTTTGGAAAAATACAATCTTACTTAATTACAAATGAAATTATACGTGCGCAGGGAATTTTTTATAGTGAGATTGCAGTTTCTTAAATAGATTAATATAAAATGGACCAAAATCACGAGAACACAAAATACATGAAGAAAAAGTTCAAATCGATGCACAGAACTGGAAATCATTTTCTACAGTTTCTAGATACATAATCAACGGCTGAAATATGTCCTATTCTGGATAACAATAATAAAAAGAAAGTTGAAATCAAATCAGTGGAATCGCAAAAATAAACACAAAAACCACAAGGATATCGCTAACACTTCACGAGCAAAATCATTTAGAAAAATCGAATGCTGGTCTTAATTACTCAATCTAACTAGTCACTGCCTACTTTAGCACCCATAGCATACTAACAAAACACTCAATAATGAGTTCATACACTACCTATTTTCTGTGAATGTCAAATAAAAATAAATTCTATACAGAGATTTTCACTACCATGGCAGTGCTGGATGACTATGGAAGTTATCAATATTGACAATACATTAACTATAAGGACGTAACGTAATACAACAGTCCAAGAATTGGAAAGTAATGTACATTCAGTCTTAACAGCCAGCTTCTCTCATACAGTAATGGCAGTCAATGTAAATATTTGATGGTTTGCTGCTGTATTTCCTGGACTGAACCCTTCAATGTAATACGAGACTAAGGGGGGGTATAGCAATGAAGAATGAACTGCGACGCTCTAAACAATTGCACACTCATTTGCACCGGATGACCATGGACTAGGAGGACAGAACATACAAAGAAACCGTACTAATCAATACTCCCCCACCTTTCTTCCTTTTTCACGCCAGTGAACGTAGTGGCACTCAAGGAGAACAATGATGAACATCTGCTTGGGAAATACATTACCGCTGTGTCTCACTTAGAAAACTATTTCAATAAAGTCCAAGTCTTGTACTTGTATGAACTGCAACTGAACTTGTATTTGGACAAATCCTGTATAACTATATATTCTTTTATTATTGACAAAATCATAGGTACTACATTTAGCAGTAAACGTAAAGCTACAATAGAAAAAACAAAGCAATATTTAGTCTGCAGAATTTAATTTCCAATAACAACACAAAAAATGACAACGATGAGTGTTTACAATCCCTTATTCTTCCGGAATAACAATGTCGCCACTGCGAATAGCATCAACAATATCATGCGGATGCTGTCCATTTACTGTGCATCCAACTGACTGCGCAGTGCCTGCAAGTATTTGGTCTTTCGAAGGTGGAAAACTTACTTAGATCTCAATACTAAATTTACGGAGTTCAAAACACATTTTTTTTAATAGTATAAATGCAGAAATACGGAGTCTGCTTTCGACACATATTCTAACTTGAAATTCTTAGTATCAAAAATAAAAACAAGAAGCCAGAGCAGTCTCTGCGAGTACTAAATGCAATATTAAACATTAAAAAACATATGACTAAGATTATAACTTTCTTTTCAACAGACTCACCCAATATCTCTTTCACTGTACCTTCCAGTTTCCATGCCATTGAACGTGGTCTCATTTGACGAGCAATATTGATGATCTGCTCGACAGAAAGATTACCGTTGTGCTTCACTTAAAAAACTACTATTATTTACCGATGAAAACAATTTAGTGGGCAGAATAAACTGGAACATGACAATATTTAATTAGAATATATTGAAACTGAGACATCTGGAATACATTAAAAACACTTCCACACTTGAAACTTAGCAAAAATATTGTCTCCGACATAAATGTACATGAGTCTTATAGATTTCAAAGTAACTTATATAATTAATTTAAACGAGGAAAAAAGAAAACGAATCGAAGTACACTCGGGCTTTAAACTCCTTAACCCTTCAAGACCAAGAACCCAGTCACTGTCCAACTAAATGTCCCGATATTTTAAATCTACCCATCAGTTTCTATGCTAATCATTGCACGTAAAGAACCGTACTCATTTGCAGTCTCATAGTATATATTGTACTTCTTTGACTTGCATAATACTTTTCTGGGGCTTACCGAATTTGTTGTTGACCCGAAAACGGTTACCAGTCTTTTCAATTGCAAAGCTGACATAAAGACACAGCAATATTCGAAAATGACTGGGGGATGGGGACCATGCGTTGGTCACCCGACCCTCCGCCTACACAAACAAGTATTATGCATACGTTTGAACCATAATAACGCCGTAGATTAAATACTTTATCCCCCTTTCTCCTACTCCGATTTCCTTCATTTGGATATTAACATGACGTTTTGTTCGCATACCGTTTTTAACCTTCTTCCGATCCCTGCTTGGTTCCTTCAATTCTTTGATAAGCAACGATGCCGCACTTGGTACTACATCGATTTTGGCTACACGATTTTGGATCGTCAATTTGCAAGTTACTTTAAGACCTTTCCAATCTTGAGTTGCTTTCGCTATATCATCTCCAATTTTTTTGGGGGACTAAAAACACTGAATTAATTATATTTTCTGCCAATGAAAACCAAAGTTGTAATTAAGACGTGCACAATTTAGAGTTAAAATATAGTAAGTTGGCAACCAAAATCACTCACGTGAGATTTACGAAAGTGGATATATAAACTAACAAATACAAATTTTTGGGCACTTTTCCAATACCTGTTTAATTAGGTCTGAAACCATAATCACATTTATTATGCAGAAATACCATAGAAAAAAGGCTTACCAAACCAAGTGGTCCAACTTTAGGTGCAAGAGCTGATGTAGCTCCAACTTCACCACCAACACATCGTAAGTAAACTGCAAATTTTTTATTATTCGCGTTAAATCATGATACAAGCTATTCAACAGTACTTAGAAGACTTTTGAACTTGATAAACGACCCTTCAAATTAGAAGAATTGCACTGAGGTTGGATAACACAAAACTAATAAGCAAGAAAACATTAGTACAAGCATACTAGACTAACCAACTATTTAGATTAAATTTAATTGAGATTGCAAAAATGAAAATGACTGCTTAGCATAAAACTTGAAGGATATCCTGAGTAGTAACGATAAATAAAACTAGTTCCTTGTTGTATTTCTGACTGATAAACTAAATATGCCTAAGTTGAAATCAATAATCACAATCTTAAAACTCACCAATTTTGATTTCGCTCGGGTCAAATTTCGGTGGCATGTCTCCAGTAGCAACAACCAACACTAACACACAACTTATGAACCCAAAATTTCTTCATCTAAGGTTTGATTTTACGCAGTCGGTCACAATGCAACTGGCAAATCTCACACAAATTGATCCCAACATGCCATATATAATTATACCATATATGATTTGATGAGTACATCATATGACTACTTCCAGCACCTCCTTTGCATAGTAAATTAATGTAAATTAATTGCAGTTTTCTATATTACTCCGCATTTCTTGGAACTTCTACTTCTTGCATGCTCATATGCTTGAAGCTTACGCAGCAACCCATGTTTAGAATCTGTGACACCACACTTTCTTTCATGTAAAGAGCATAGTGTAGCCAAATAACTAATACATAAATATTCGCTAATGATGCATAGGATCACTCAGTTGCCAGCAGCGTGACTATTTTTATATTAACTATTATGAGTCTGAACAGCACTTTGATCCAAATTTTTTATTCGTTCTGGGCACTTTATTTGTGAATGAATAAGCGACATTTAGGTATTATTGATATTGGGAAGAATGGTAGCTTTTTAAGACCAGACAGAAAGCGTAAAATTAATACATGGTCTTCTTGAGATTCAGATGTATCTGCACTCATATTTGTACGAAAATGGTACACTTTTAGAAATATTGACTTCTTAGATATCACAATTTGTACAAAGGCTATGATGTCGCTTCTGGTGTTGATTGCTGTGGCTCGGGAGTAGATGGTAATTCTGCAATCTGCACAAATGGTGCGCTCAACGACAGCGTATTACCGAGACCGTACAAATGTCCTTCAACAGTCGGCGCGATCTAAACTGTATGATGAAAGCGGAAGTCAAGGGAAATTTACCTTTATCAACTTGTGAATATGTATAAGGTTCAGCAATAATTTGACTTTCCAAACAGCCTCCCGCTCTATCTAATTTTTATTTTCCAGAAAAGATAACTTAGCTCTACTTATTTTACAAAAATTCACTAATGACTTTTCGTTGATTCTTCATTTTGTTTCTGATAAATAATTTTGTAATTTCCTGGTTCTGATCTTAATTTGTTGTGCGAGGTTAAAAAACTAAACTATTAAAATTTCGGCTTCTTTAAACTTCATAAATCACCTGATTCCAGGAGTCTCCAAAAAATCGCTCTTTGATTTTAAAAAACGTTTGAGCGGTAAGTAATGAATCAGAACCTGCTTGATGTTGTTGTCCTTTACGTACCACTTGTAAGTGATCAGCAAGCTGGAAAATAGTCAAATAAATCATTATCAAATAAAATATCTTAATGAATATTTTTGCCAGAGAAAGCATCTAATCAAGTACCAAATAGACGATTATGAAACTGACTGCAGTGTAGCTGTATTTGTTCATATTTTTAGTAAGATGATAATGGCAACTATCATCTTATCAAAGTATGGCTTTTATTAAACGAATAAAGCTTACAAACAAACAAACCTCTTGCAGACCGCCTCTCAATTTTGCATTCATTAAACCAGGATGTTTCAACAACATTTTCAAGTCATAACTACATGGAAAAAGTTTCCGATGATATTGGAAAAACTGCGACTCTTCTTTAGGTAATTCAGAAAGCAAAATAGAACGCATGAGGTAACCAAAATCATAGCCACTATGAAATGTTAACCACGTGATGTGTTCATCAACAATGAGGCCTGAAGTAGTAAGTAGTTCACCAAAATCGGCCATCCGTATTCCCTCAACCTACAAATCATATGTTTAATTCACTCCACATTTAATTTAAACTGGTATATTGAAAACTGAATGAGTAAGCACACAATAGAACCAATTCTTTTTGAAAGACATTTCAGCAGCAACGAGGGAATATAACTTTACTTTATTATATGACTTCATAAAAGGAGAAATACTATAGACTGTACGGCTGTATCTAATTATTGTTTTACCTAATTATTAAAGTCTTGAACATAATGATATTAATCAGAAATAATTTTTTTTTTTTCAAAATGTCACTTGATGGCGTCCAAAATCAATGCCAGCATTACGCAGCAAGTCTACGCTATCTTGAGAGTACATATCATCACTCAGAGAAAATTGGAAGTTGAATTGCCAAACATCACCAGTAGGTGGCATATTTCCATCCTTGTCCAGGAGTGCAAATCCAACTTGAATAAGTTTCAGCATATTCACATTGCAAGAAACCTACAAAACAATGATATAATTATCGAAAATGTTCTCGGAAATCTGTGCTCAAATAAGTGATACCGACCTGTTGATAATTGAAGTCCTCCTTACTTTTGAACTGCCCTAACGGAGTTGCAACTACACCTGGAAACTCCGTATCCATTGCAACGTAGGGGTAATTTTTTACAATATCTCGTATTCGATTGAACTCCTGGAATCATTTATTACAGAAAATATTTAGAATGAAATGCGAAGACAATGCTCTACGCTCACTTCTTCCAGGTTGTTGGCCCAGACATCGTGAATATTCACTTCGAAATCGTTCATTCCCAAACGCTTTCCCGGATATTCGAATCCGGCAAATACAAATTATCTGTAAAAGGAATGATGATAACCAAGAATCATTATTTCCTTCCATTTTTACATTTGCGCATATGAAAATCACAACCGTTATCCCGATAACAGAATTTTGCACCGAAAACACTACGCACAAATCTACTATATTATCTGCTGCTTATGTTTATTTTCAAACTACATAGTCCTACAAGTAAAATCATAATCAATTATAATGAGTTTTCACTACTCTGTTTGGGTCATCCTGTTCCCCAGAGACATGCACATAAAATGAAGATAAACCCAAAATCTCAAATTAAATAAGCCAAAACAATTATAAACTTCAATCACTTTCATTATTTCTAGCATGACACAAAAGAACATATATTCATTAAAGCACAGTGTTCTTAAAAACTGATCATAAATGATCCTCTTCAATACACTAAATGAAAAAATTAAACGTTCAGTGAGCAAAGACAAATAAAGACTCAAAAGATAAATTGACACTCGAGTAACATGTTCCGTTCCGATCTTTCATTTATTGATCAACTATAACAAGAACCCGTAATATTATGTGAACAACGAATTTATAAGCATGCACAGCTAACAAAAATATTTAGAGACTCAGAAGAAATCATAGAAAATATCTATGCAGTTTTCTCATCGCAAGAATAATATTCACAATTAAAAGTGTCGTCCCGTACGTCAAAACCATTTTTTTCACTATACGCCGCCTCCTAAATGAACAGCGAATATGAAGTGATAAATATTGTTAAAACCTGGAAATCACTTGGACTAAATAATTCAAACGGAATTTGATCATGGAATATTTTCCGCAATTCATAATTTTCAAATTTTAAATTCAAAACACCCTGCACTCTCTCCTGAATACTATCAGCCTTCTGACAGAAAACAGTGCATTGGGTGAGCTCAAAGAAAAAAAACTTCGGAATTTCTCTGCAAATTCTCTAGACCAAAATATTTGAACAAATTTTTAAAGCTTGTAAGCAAGAAAAAAATGAAAATGACTTTTAGATGAGATTCATCAATCTAAAAAACAACACAAAGATCAAGAACCTTGGTCCCAATCTGCTGAAAATGATATCTACAAAATTCGACCACATATATTGCCCATCGAGATATATACATGGTACTGCATTGATAACAGCAAAAGCTATAAATATGAGAAAATAAGAACTTGAACTTGTTTTCGTTTGGAAATAATTATAATCAAATGATGACTACAGAATGAAAAAATTACATCCAAACATAAATAACCAACCAAAAGAAAATGTAAAAAGATATTTAGCCATGAGTTCAATCACATAAGGTATAAGCGCTGGCACGAACGATAACCTCGGAACATAGTTGCTTACTTCTACGTGACATTCTAACTAAAAATCTTCGTATTTTCGTAAAAATCTTGTCATTTTATACTAACTTTAGGATGACAAATAGAAATTATTTACAAAATAAGCTAATTTTAGAGTTCATCTTGAGACTAATATGTCAGTAGCTCTAATAAACTGGACATAAGAATTTAAGAACACTTTTCTATAAAGAAACAATATAACGGATAGTCAATGGGAAAATATCAAAACCATAAAATAGAGTTAAGTTGCATCTGAATAACATATGTAAATTTGATTTATCTTTCTTGAATTATGTAAACACCTACTTTTCGATAAAAATTATCAAAATATTGTGTTCGGCAAAAAATTACTTCTTCGATGTAGCCCACATATAGAACTACGCGTGATGTGTCATTAATTGAAATTCTCATGAGGGACATATTGCCCAGAAGAGCAGGGTAAACGCATGACTCACTTGACTTTTCCAATGTATCATTCAACTTTATGCAGTCTTCATTAGAACTACACAAAAGCAATTCTGCAAAGTATATTTTAGCAATGTAATTTTACACAAAATGCTTCTCAAGATCAGCTAAGACAAAATATACCACAACTTTTAGTAATCTTATTAACTAGAAAAAAGCTAGCCTTAAACTAACCTGCCACATACCTTGATGGTAAACAAGTGCATTCTTTCGCTGAGAAATACTTCAATAATTCTTGATTTCCTCCTTCAATTAATATCACCATTATCAATAAGCGACAGAAAACACAATCAAAAGAAAACTTTGAAATTTGTAAGTAATTCATTTTAAACAAATCTCACAATAATTCTACTTTCATTTCATACAACCAAAAAGGAATTAACGACATTAGGCTATAATAAATGTTTACGGACCAAAAACTAATATAAAATGAAAAACGCACTGCTCTGAGTAGTGTTGATCCATTCACGCACGTAAAAACACATATAAGAAGTAGAATGATTCTTTGTCGCATTATAGCAACAATCCAATTCATTTTCCACTAATTGCATCTTTAAAACTGAGAGAGCATAATAACATTTATGGACACTATTTAATGGAAAGACAAATGAAAAAAACTAGTAAAATTCTCATTTCGCCAATGAAACCAAACAAAAATTTTTTGAATTAAATGCATACGGGCTTCCTCATATTATATCGTAGTAAAAAAAATCATATATATAAATGTGTGATAAAAACGTTGTCGAAAACTAAAAATTTAGCGGTAAGATACATATGTTACTACCAAGCATAAAAGGAATTTCAATATGGGAATTATAAGGACATCATATAATTGAATATATTCACAAAAATAAAAAATATTAAATATTCATTTACATTACCAATGTTTCATCCCAAAAGTGCAGAATGAACACATATGTTATTAATATTCTTATAAATGAACTACTCAAGCACTTGATCAATTGCAAACTAAAAATACAACCTCCTTCGCAATATTATCAGCGATTACAGTATTAGATACGCAAAATCCTAAGTCAGTACTCCTCAACTTCATTAAACAGTCGTTCCAATTATCGACACTACTGACACTGCAACCGCTTACGCCATTGATAACGATGCCTTTTTGCAAACCAGCTGGACCAGATAATGGAGAACCCTTTTGAATATCTGCAAAAATTAATTGAAAAACTTGAATAACAAATACAAAATCCAATTCATTATTAAATTTCAACAAAATTCTTACAAACCTGAAACATAGACTCCTGCATCCGATACATAAAGTGGTAACAAAAAAAAAGGAGAAGCTTTATAAAGTGCGTAAGCGAACACAGCAAGAACCAAATTATGCCATATGCCGGCACAACTGATTTTTAATTTTTGAAAAAGAGATAAACGTCCTAAAATACATAAATGCTTATCGGATTCTCAGCTTTCACATAATATGGGTAAATGCTTCTGAATACTGTTGAAAAAGCATACTACGTCGAATCAAATATCTTTTAATATATTGTACATTCAAACAGTTTGATGATATTCATAATCTTTCAAGTTATTGTTTTGATATCTCACAACATTTAAACATTCTTTCAATTTATATCATATATCCATTATAAAGTATTGATATCTTATTCATAGCCCCTAACTAAAAAACTATATCATGCATCAATTTCGTTTCCTATATAATTTTTAAATGCGCTGAGAAATGAATAATAAACTAACGCAAAGCAGTAGTGTCAATTTCCACATAAGCAACAATATATATGGCAAGAAAGACGAAACCCATATTTAAAACCGGAACATTCGTATTTAATGCAGCTAACATATGTCCAAATTCGTGAGTGAGTGCTGCAAGAAATAGAACTACAATGTACAGTGGCACCTGCGTCCATGGAATGTTCCAACCAGGAATTACAAATTCTAAACTTCCTGAAATGAAAACGAAATATCAGTAGCAAATGAACAAAATTGTCCAGTTAAATAAATTACTGGCTTGAAACTGAAGTGCAGAAAATGAACTTTTTATGTTGCTTCAAACATTTTGATAAGCAATGCAAATTGAAATAAATAAGTGAATGATACAGAGGTGCAGTGGAGAGATGACAAAAAAATATTATTACTTTATCATATCTTGAAACGAATTTTTTGAAAAAAACAAAAATGTGTTCATTACATTACAAATTGAAGTCAAAAATTAGGTTCTGAATCTGAAATACTCAAAATAATCAAACAATTAGTATACTCCTCCCTTTTTTACGCCATGCTGCTTCGTCAGATACATTTAACTACTTTAATATATTATAACAAATCTAACCATCAAATTCGACGAACCGTTTTGAAGCTGTCGTAACTTCTTGCCGACGAACATAAGTAACCGAACTATCCACAGCAAATGACCCAAAAAATTCAACCCACCATAAGCTTAATTCCATTATAGAAGTTCTCGAAAGATAAAAGATAATTGAAAATGAGAAACATATTGCAGTAATAACTCCAGTGATAAACCAAATATTAAGTAAATACAATGAAAGACTGTTTTGAGGAAGCATCTTAAATGCTTTACTCGGCGACTGAAAAAGGACGAAACGAATCTGAAAAACCATTGTCTTTTAAGTAATTAAATAACGATAGTAACGAAACTTTCGCTGTACCTGAAATAAGAAGTTGTAAGCAAATTTAAAAAAGTATCGTTCTGTTTCCAAACGACAACAGAAAATTGTTCTAATGCCAACAAAGTTGAATTAAAAGAATTCATGATATGAAAATTTATAAAAACTTCAATAATCCAAAAAAACATAATAATTAGAAGTAATTATAGAGGGCCATTTTAGTCTGCTTAAGATGAAAACTGAAAACGTGTTTGAAACAACTTGCCTGAAAAAGTGAAATACTCAAGTGATAGTGTTCTACAAAAACTGCGTAAAAATTAGCATTGAAAAAGCGAAACAAACAATCCAACAAGTTGATTGTACTCCAAAAAGCCAAGAACCAACCCAAAATAGCGAGGAACATTTAGAATAAATGATATTGGGTCTGAAATTAACACGATTTTCGTATCTGACATTTAAACTTTAGTAACAAACCTTTACATAATACAAAAAATTTGTAAATTACTAGTGAGCCACCTCTTCCGAATACGCAAGTTTCATTTTATCACTAACTTCACAATTAGTTAGTTCTACTTGATTGAATATAACCTGCTGGTCACATGCAATGAACGGAAACTTTCATTACTGTTTTAAGGCTTCTCTAAACAGACAACTTAAAGTTAATTCCTGCATTCACTGCATAGACTAGTTTAATATTAATTTAAAAAAACGCTGATTACGCATAATCACAAAACTACTTCTAAATAACATATTATAATAAGGACAAATAAAGTAAATCCACCTAAGGCTACACATGATATAATCTTAAATTACTTCGTTCAATTATTACATGAAAATCCAGCACATTTCTATCCACAAATAACAACTCTTCATCGCATAATGGCCTCTTTGTCCATTAGGGTCAACAAAAGGTCACGTGTCATTATTTTCAGAAGTATCGTTATTTTACTTTGACAAAGAAGGCTTTGTAAACCAGAATTGCAAAATGAAAAATGATTGGTTAATAACATTTTTTTAGTAGACTTATTTTATACGTTGTTTGTTCGTAAATGTAGCACTTTGTCATAGTTTAAGTGAAGAAAAATAATGGGAATCCTGCTTATGTACACCAAGTTGTATGCACTGCTTGCCGTGTTTTTGTTCCGTCACAGACATGTAAGAGAATTAAATTTTTGATCTACGCTGCGAATCTCAACTACTTTCCGCCAAGTGCTACTCAGTTTCTGTAATCTCACAGTTGCATTCTTTCCTTCTTCAGATTGCTAAAGCAAGAATGTACGCAGAAGATTTGCACTGCATTTCGTATGACAAATTTCGAGCATTTCAGGAAAGTTCTATGATTGCCTGGAAGTATCGAATTAAACGTTCTGTGCGTGTGAACCGAATAAAAAACTAATCTAATTCTCGACGAAACATAACATCACGCAGAAGAAATATTTTTACTTTTTTTACTCAACGGAATTTCATTTTTGCTTTTCAAACGTTTTATGTTTGTACTTATTGCGCAATTTATGAAGGAACATTACTATTTATTGAACCTTTTTCGTATTTGGTTATTGCTATTGATTTATTGGCATTAACGATTTATTCATTCATTTAATCCTCCTTTAATTGCATGTTTATTTTTAGGCAAAATTTGGTCTCTAACAAAATTTTATCATTATTGTTATTGATAATGTTGTTATTAATATTATGAGTAGTTGTTTATTCAACCATATGCTTGTATGTAGTCACGAACAGAATATGTGACACGAATATTTAGTTCTTTGCAAGATGAATTTTATTCACATTATTAGAAGAGATGTCGCTAAAAAGTTGGAGGACAAGGTCATTTTTTATTGAGCTTAAGCCAAAGAGTGAATTTGCATCGTTATTTATTGACTGTCCACCAACAGAAGAAAATGGACAAGCTTGTAACAACAATCATTCAGGAACATTGGATGAATCAAACGAAAGGTAGGATTGTCGACTAATGTACAGAGAGATGCTGAAGCAGAGTTCTTCCCCCTGTCACTTTCAAGACTAAGAAGGTCTTTTGGACCTCTTTAGTCTTGAAGATGATAAAAACTATTAAAATCAAAAACTGTATTTTAGAAATTTTATGTTCGCTTTGGTAAAGTTATGTTTTGAAAGAATAATAATGACTGAGTTCTCAAAAAATCAACTCTCAATAGAGGAGATATATTCTAATGTTATCCTAAAATTTAATGGAGAGGCGAAGATGATGTTATCGCGAAATTATGCACAATTTAACGTTATCAAAAACTGCATAATTTTGTAATAAGCTAAATAAAGTTCATAATATGTAACTATTTTGTGAAGTTTCAGTGGTGGACGAATTTTTTCCATTCTGTATTTGTTAAAAAACTTTTATTTGGTTTCAAATTGAGGCGGTGAAAGCATTAGTTGACATCATTATTTGTGTGTGTTTTATTTCTCCAAGAATTAATAGCATAGTTTGCTTCTGGAATTGTAATTCTGATTCAGCTTCATTGCAGGAAATCATCACATGTTGAAGAGGCAGCAGCAAGCACTAGTAAGGAATTGCTAGATCGGAAAGAGATGGTTCATATTCGTGAAGATTCCATCGAAATGAATGCAGCAGTGGATAAAACAGAGGATATTCAATCAAATTTATTATCATCTTATTCAGCAAAATTCGGTGACCTAGTTCTGCAGCCGAATTCAGTCTGTGCCCTTACTTGGGCAGATAATCATCGGTTATTCATGTGTAAAGTACGAGCAGAAGTTGGTGGATGTCCTTTAGGTAAGTTTTTTAGTATTTGTTTTTGTTTTAGAAACTAAATGTAAATCAGAAGTTATATAATGCATGTATAAAAAGATGACAATAATTATTTGGGACTATAATTAGAGGTTCATAAAACATGGTTAATAAGACGTGTAACAAGTATGGTATATAGGAATCACATTTTATAAAGCTTGGTTTTTATTTTGTAAATACCTTATTGTGCATTTCACTTTTTCTAGTGCTTATTTATTTCATTATAGTACCAAAAACATTTCATCGGTTAGCTGTTGATGTGTCGTCTAGAATGCTTCTAGATGAATATATTGAAAGTGCTCAATCGCATCCTTTACAAGCAGAATGCGCTGAATGCTCGGCAAATCTTTTAAATTATTCTGAAAAGTATGTTTTTAAATAATATTTTAAGATTAGAACTTTTTCAACGTCTCATTTTTATTTTGTTTTATCGGTTTTTATGCCTTTTTATTTACCATTTCTCGAGTAAATTTTGGAGTGTTTTAGTAGTCTGAAAATGCAGTCTTTACCAGAAGATGATTGGTTGGATACTTCTCCGTCTATGGAATATTTTTGTCGTGATACATGTGGTGGCTCACATTCTCATGGTTATCATAATTTCCACAGCTCAGACTTGATTTCTGTTGCTGATGCACAGAAACAGTGGCTTCCAAATGAAAGCACAATAGCAATATCCGATTCATATATTCTGGTATTAAAAAAGGTTTGCGCAATTATCTTTTTGTATGAAAGTGAAACTAATTTGGTACGAAATATTTAAGGTGAAATTAACTTTTATGTTTCGATTATGAAAAAATTGATTAATTCGACATTCAAAAATCCATTAAAAACGGCGCTTTCTGGAACAATGCATTGTTTATTCTTAATCAATTCAGCGCTGCTACCTCATTGAAAGCATTAATTTTTCCGAGATATATTTAGCCGAAAAGTCAGGAAATTTTTCTGGCATTATTCACAACATTTCCAGATGATTACACCAAATGCAGTAAATATTGACGATTCGTCTGGAGTGGTACACTGTGCTAGGTGTTACACTGAACTTGGTATCATTCTCAAAAGTAGGTCTTCTCCAAATCACTTTTAAATCGTTAGAGTTATTGATACAACTTGTTAACAAATAATGGCAACATGAATCAGTTTGTCTTATAAATGCAGTCATATTTTTCTTTCTTGATTGTATGATGGAAGAAGTTCATTTTTTTCAGTCATAACAAGATTAAATCGAATTTAATTATTTTGGTTTAATTTAATAACTAAAATGATTGTTGTTTTTTCATTATGCGAAGCAATTAAAATCTTTCTCAATTGATTAAGTGAAGAATAATTTTCAGAAAATCCTGATATTGTGCAATTTCATCATGTAATGTGCTGTCTAACGTTAGCAAAGGAGAGTGAAATTTACATAAATAATAGGTGAGTCACGATGTCATAATAGTAAATCTAAAAAAAGAAAATTTAGTTGCTTCATTTCTGTTCCAACATTTAATTACTAATATTAAAAAAAATCAGTGTAGCAATAGTAATTTGATACTCATAATTTCAATTCTCACCAAAATTTTTCTTTTTTCCTTTTTCACAAGCAGATTTGGGACGTTGGAGCATTTTTTTGCATGGACGTTACTCTACCAGTGCGAATCGCAGACATCTCTGAAGCTTGTCCTTCGATCATATGACAAGCGGCCATATTTACTGGTGATTTATTTCGTACAATTATATTCTTTTTCACTTGTTTTTATTTTTAAAACGAATATTTTCATCTTTATTTTGTTCAAAGGTTTGGCTGTTGGATTCGTACGTTGTAATATCTCAGGGAGAGTTAGCGATAGCAAGTAGAGGTGAAGAAGAGAATAATTTGATCTTTTCATTCCCTGCACTCAAAATGCTCTACAAAGTTAGAATTAAATATGATTTGTCTTATTTAGTAATTTGGATTATTAGTTAGTTATTTGCTTCTTGTGATACTTGCAACGTTCTCATTAATTTTACGGTGAAATTAACTTAGAATTATAGTTATATGAATAGATTTTGTGTCTTTCGCTGTTATGTATGCTTCAGTTTCCATCTTGTTTTTAGATATTTGATTCTGAGTCAGCAAAAACAGACCCACGTGCAAATGGAGAGGATGCTAGTGTTGCCATATTAGATATGCCATTGATTTGTTGCGTAAAATTTACGGAAGTACTACTTGAATCATCACTTGCCTTACCTCCTGCTGGACGAAGCGTTGGCCAATTCTATGTGCGTCTTTACATATGTATTTGTCATGAATGAAAAATTGCTGTAAGTGAATTTCTTAATTTGTGTTTTTCAGATCGGATTTTTGAAATTATGATTCTTTGTGACGATCTTTGGTTTTTATATCTATCGCAATTCGTGAAACCACCATAAATGTGATTGAAAGTAATTACTTTCTTTTATGACTAATGAATGGGTATTTTATAATTGCAAGTTTTAAAATATAAGTATTTGTCGGAGTAATTAAGAAATTGATGTTTGTTTGTTCTTTAACTACATGAAGAGCTTCTCATGAAGAGCTTCTCGTTTTATGTCACTATGTTAGAATTACTTTTTGTCTTGTTCTGTTTTTTACTCTGCTTCACAAAATATCCAGTTATTTTGTTCTAATCTATGGATTTGTAATATAGTACTAAAATGTTTTAAAAGATTTTAGGCCTGTAACGAATCATCCTTTTTGATCACCTCAAGCTATATTTTAGAAGCTTGTATTCTTCCTTTTTATATTGTATTACAAAATATAAGTTTGCCTGTAATGTAAAGGCTTTCATATCTAAAGTTTTGGAAAAAGAAGAGATGGAGTGTATAGCAGACGTGGTTTTTTGAGCTATTTGTTATTAACCGTTCTGTATCAAATGCTTGTTTTATGTGCGTTTTAATGATCATTGTTATCAGAAATTGTGACTCATGAAGGTTTTAATGAACACACGTTTTATTTGGGCATCATTTCCTTTTTGTTAAATTGCTGAAATCAAAAGACCATGTATTGGCATAAGTAAAATTATTCTTTTCATTACTGAAGCACTATTGCAACAAAACATAATTGCATAACAAGCCACTAGTAGATGCTAATGTCAAGCAGGAATCGAAATAAACAAAGGATGAAGTAGTTGTGCACTGTCTTGATTGGTAGATAATTAGACCAAGTGCAAGTCGCTAGTTCGGTTTGAGTTGGACGTTGGATATATTGATATGGCGAATTTTTCAAGCAATGAAGCTGCGTAGAACTGCGATTACTGCTGCAAATGTGATGGCGGAAAGAGAACTAGTAGTTTGCCAGGAGCTCTGAAAATTATGCGGTAATTTGAAATGTCGATTAGTAATGATTAAAAAGAGGAGGGGTATTTTTTTTTTAGAGTTGAGGAAAATGTGAGACCAGGAATTATGGAATCATCTATTATGCTTCATGAATGTACTTCCTGACAATGTGATAAGCACGTCAATAACCAGTGAGACAGCAGTAAGCTTCAATCTTTGAAAATATTTCTAGCTTCTGATGTCTTTTGATTTCAGTTATCAAACAAAGCATACCTTTGATTCATATCCCCATGGATAACTCTCATTGATGTATTTACATTCCGTTGGTAACTTCCATTCACTGTTATCGGGTAATCTTTCTGGTGATGGTAATTCTGTGCAGTTATTATAAACCCAACATTGTAGAATTCTTACTATCTAAAAGTTACACTATGGGATCATCAGTATTCTATTCAAATTTAAATAATGATGGAACGGCTAAAAAATACTGAATCATTCACATAGCAGATTCTTCATAATCTTATTTGTATTTTTTATTCAATGGGGTAAAGTTTAGTTTACTTCCGAAAATCTACTTTTTTAAACATACCCTTTTTTTCAAACTTTAAGCTAGAAATTAAGTGGTCAAAAGCTAATCAAATTTTTTGTTTCAGACCTGATGACGTGCGGACATGACAGATGGGGGATCGCATGTGTTTGGTGAGCGTAAATCAAGATGATGAGCTGCATCTAGCATGTAGAATGTGTAAACGCCGTTTTTCTTGGCTTGTTGAATTCCAGGAGAATCATCATATACTCCACCTGCAGACCACGGATCCAAGTTACCGTTCCTTTGAATTGATATACGAAATTATTTTAAATTGTTATTAATTATTGGTCGTAGCAAAATTTAGTATGGAGGGAAAGGAAAACTGAATGCCACAATCAGCCACTCGAGGGCATCACTATGCATTGTCTTTGCTTTTTAAAACCTTTAATGTATGTACATGACCTTTGAACTGGAAGAGGATTGTGACTAAACCATTGTCATCATTTATAAATTGACATTTTCCGACATAAAATTAAAACTACGAAACTTACGAAAATATGATATTGCTAGCTGCAAAATAAGTAAGGCCATATCGTATTGCTGGCTCTTTTGTGTGGTAGAAGTCTTCGGTATAACCAATCGTTTTAAAGTAATAGAAGCAGTTATCTTTCAACATTTGTTCTATTTCTTTTGACTCATTACAGGTTTTTAGGAAGAAGTCATTTTCACCACCACTGTCACATAATTGCATTGTCATTGATGTGCAGGACTGCAAAAATGCTTTCCATATATCGATATTTGATTATTAATAAAAGATAAAGCTTTATTGAGTACGAAATTACACTGTTCACAAGTATGAGTTCTGGTCACTTATATGGTATCGAAATTAGCTATGTGGTGTAGTAATTTATGATATCAAGCATATCACTTGTAATTTTACCTGCCAAACCCAACCACTGCCTGCATCAAGTGCTCCATATGAATTATAGCAGTTTGCGGTGAAGCAGTTATAATCAAGAGCACCGGTATAGTTATAGAAGACATTAATAACATTATATAACTGTTTTGCCAATTCTGTTTCATTTGTAGGCGCTTCCTTAGCAAATGTACAGGCATACTGTAATCAGTAAATTAAATGGCTTATAGTTGATGTGAAGCCTATTATCAGTTCTTTGAAATAATATGCGCTAACAATGAATTAATTGAAATTATTCTCTATATATTTTAAACTGATATGTCAGTGACATTTATAGAATTTTATTTTTGGCAGAAATATTCAGTAGTGAATTATCATTCAAGAAGCTTCCGAGATTTCGAAGAGGCATATTAGAAATAAGGAAATTGAAACTTCGGACAGGTACTGAATTATGCTGCAAAGGTTGAATTGAGTATAAGAACTGACTATATAGACGAAAAGTTCTACAAATTTTACCTTAACCGGAAATGCAGGTAAAGCTTCAAGAAAGTCAGCTGGGTAAGGGTAATCAGTCATAGCCATATAGAAAATAGCAGCTGTTATGTAGTCGTAAAGATCCTCGAAATCCTTTGCACTCTGCATCTCATAGCCAGGTTTTGCGTGGAATATTTCGTTCAGTGCTTTAATTCCACTATCTGCGATATCCAAATATAAATTAAATGAGTATGTGCTTTTTTTTCTGTTAAACTCCAGCGTTAGCTTAATTTTTGCCCTTGGATTTTGCAACCGGCTTTTACTATAAACAAGTATGGCGTAAAAAGACATGAGAATTAGACCATATGCTATTATTAAAAATGGAATAATTATTATGATATTGTTAAAGTAACAAAAAAACGGTGAAGACACAGGATTCCACCTGAATTAGAAAGCTGTTTAATGGCTTCAAATCCTTTGGAAAACGCATCTCTACTACATCCACTGTCCACGTATACACGTGTAGTAATATTACTCATTAGGTCTGGACTGACGCCTGACCCATCAAAATTTCTCACTGGGGCAGATGACGCCCAGGCTCTACAAATTTATGCTAGTCATTATAATTTTAGAACTTAAATTTTGGCTTTGAACATTTGTTTCTACTTTTTGCAGTTTAACCTAATTCATATTCTATCACGTATTTACGTAAAATTCAAAACTTGATCAATTCAGCAACATTTTTCAACAATGAGATACAAAAAAATCTTTCTGTATAACCAAATAGCATTGATCAGATAAATGTTGGATAAATCTGAAAAGTAAAGTACCCATTAACAATATGAGGATATTTCATGCGGAGCCATGCAGCAAGCATTCCACCATAAGACCCACCAAATACAATTACAGGTATTTCTGTATCTTGAGGACAGTGGCCATACTTGCTTATATCCATTTTCAAGTAGTAAATTAACTCAGCGAAGTCAGCTAAGGCTTGAGCGGCGCTCAAATATCCCAATTTTGTTACATACTAAATAGCAATTAGTACACTTCAAAAGTACCAACAAAAATGATATTGAAAAAAATTAGTGTCAAGTTAGAAAACATTATCTCTTGAAATAAGCAATTCTTCAACACCGCAAACTAAAAGCAGTCATATTTTTGGCATTTCAGGAACAATGACACAATTTGAGCAACACAACTTTGAAAGTTAAGATATTAATCAGAGATTTATATTACACTAAGCAAATTTGAAGTTCAAGTAATCAGTTTGTTTTCGTAAATTTTTGTAATCGTACCGTGTAACTGTCATTTCCAAAAGGCATCGATTTTCCGTAATAGCGATGTTCTGCGAATACGAGAGCAGCTTTAAATGAAAGTGCTAAATTCCACATAATACCCTACAAATTAGTTTATAAAATTAAAGCACTGCTCAAATAAATATGCTAATTAAGTCAATAATAATTTACCGTATTTACTGCAAATCCTTCAATAGATCCTTCATTACCAGCATAAAAAAACAAAGGTCCAGAGCATTCGAAATATGAGTAATTTGTTAAATACCTGAGAAAAAATACCTTTAAAAATAGTTATAAAGCATAACAGAATTACCAGCAATAAATAACACAGTGCTAAATAATAAAAGATGAATTGTAGAATGAGCAGAGCAGAAATTTAAACTGACTATGTCGTTGTTCAGAAAGTTAGTGTATCTTTGTAATAATTTATCATGAAAACTAGCTAAGTTTTGAAAATATGCTCACCTGAGTGCAAAGTGGTCACTATTTCGATATGTGAAGTGATCAATAGGCATGTACGGATATTCCGTTTCATCCCATTGATACAGTGGGATACTTGAATCTGATAGTTCTGTAGAATGTTTCCAAAAGCTCTGACGACGATTCAGAAACCGATGAAACTGATTGAAATTTTGGCCACTAACATCATTTGTTGTCAATGATAGAATCAAAATTGGTAGAAAAGATATAATACAGTAAGGTATGACCATCCTGGAAATAAATATCTTATTAAAGTCATCAATTTTTATCTCGCGAAGAGCAAGAATAAAATTATTTTCCCAAAATGCACAAAATTTTGATCGCTATTAACACTGTCACTGTTATTTATTATTATTTTATTATTATTATTATTATTATTATTATTATTA